AGACGACTCAGAAGGCTTCTACTCCCCACTGCCTTATGCTCCTCTTACCAGAGTCATAATGACAAGTTCCAGACACTGTTGTGGGTACTAGACATTGCTTCTAAATCTCTCAATAATACCTCAAGGAAAACATTATTGTCCTATTTTCCTGAAGCTCAGTATCTGAGGACTTCTCCATGGCTACAAAGAGAATGAGTGGGCTGGGGTTTGAATTCATCCCTACAACAGTCCCTAGGGATCCTGCCTGTCTTGTGACTGGTGCAGTGACTTTTCAAAGATGGCAAGCAATTCCCCTCCAAGGAATGCTCCAAAGCCTCCTCTCACACTGTTGATGAGACTCTATCTACCTCCTACACTGTCATCTCCCAACCTCCCCCCTGCATCCCAGTTACCAGGCACAGTGAGGACCCATCAGCTCCCCTAAAGGACTCACTGCTTCATGTATCTTAACGTGTGTGATTGTCATGTTTAGGTCTCCTTTCTGTGCCAACCTCTTACCCCTATATTAGTGAGAAAAGATCTTATTTGTGTCCCACCTATCCATTTCAACTTCTCTCTCTATGAATCAACCATTCTCTGATTCATCCAAGCAGAATTATTGCCTCACCAATTAGCAACTGGTGTTCAAATACATGCCTCTGTAATCATGTTGATCATACCATATGAACACTGTCCATTTGTAGCTCCTTCTGTAACCAAACATGGACCTCTTCTGGGCAAGGATGCATAATCACTCTTCTTTATATCATCCATGCCTAGAACAGACCTGGCATATCACCAGTTTTGAAGAATGAGTGAATAATAATCACCTATGGAAGGGTACATCATAACCTTCCACAAAGAGATATAAGACTCCTGAAAATGAATTCAATATGGCCTTCATATTTTCAACTCTAAGGTCAAGGACATGTGACTCCTCTCTCCAAGAGTTTTCAATCTTGTTATGAACTGTATCATAATGAATCCATGGCTGCACAACATCAGGGACCTAGAGTGAAAATTGGCTTAATCTCAGTGTCTAAGTGAGTTAATGGGCCAGAAATCCAGCTAAGCTTCTTCTGTTGTTGTGGAAGAAAAGATAGGGAAAGTCTCATTGTGAGCTACCTTAATGGCCAAATGCTTATTCCACAAAGACATTTTCATCAGCTATGTATAAACAAATCAGATGCATGGTTTAATCCCTTTCCCTTTTGCTGGCCCTGAGCAATTCAGAGTGGAATATATAAATCTGGCAGTTAACCAATTAACTTGATTGGAATAAACAGCCAAATTAGATAATTAATGAGCATGTTTGCCAAATTTCCACTTCATGGCTTTGCTGTGTAGACATGGCCCTGAGGCTATAGATACATTTATAAGCAAATTACCCAATTCTCCTGGTGAATCCTCCTGTATCTTGAATCTCAGTTCTTCTATTACCCTTTCTGCTTCTTTTCCAGTATTATAGAAAACAACTAAGTAAAGAGAAAAGCTCACAGCACTGAGAGGCTAAGCTTAATAGTTGTTTCTAAAAGGAATTTAAGCCCCCAGGCTTGACAGGTCCACCCTGGCCAAGGTTATGACCTTGCCTGACCGTTCTCTCATATCCTTTCTGACCACCCTTTGTCACGGGAGCCACAAGAAGTGGAGACTGCTTCCTATGGATCACACAGAATGTGACTTGTCAAAAATTTGGATATTCTTCTTCTCCAGACAAGAAGTTCTGCCCTGATATTTTGCACAACTGGCAGAAAATCCACCTAGGGCTTTCCCAAGGCTCTTTTTGGCCACTATTAGACAAATGAAAAGTTAAGAGGTAAAGCACTTCTAGATTTAAAACATTTCTAGATTATAACCTAAAGGTTCAAAACAGTCAGGGTTTTTTGTTTGTTTGTTTGTTTGTTTGTTTTTTAATAGAAGTAACCTGATTTTCAACAAGACACAGAGGATGAAGTGTGCCACACAGATTTGAGGAAAATCCTGGAGGCTGGGCAATAATTACCATAGCAGAGCTGATAATAGTTACTGCAGCAATATTCAATTACTAGTATTAGAGTAGTTAGGAACTCTCAGCCCTTCCAGAAGCACATTTTAAGTGGTCATAGATCAATCATACACTGGGCCCTTGCCGGGACTTTGAATAGGAGAGGTATCATTTTCGTGAGTACCCACTTCATGCTAAGTGCTGCCTACATATATGAAGAATGAGATAGGTAATTCATGATCTAGTTAATGGGATTTTTTACCTGTTCATTCCTACAAAGCTGACAATGAAACCCAATGCCACTTATCTCCCCAGTCCAAAGTCTGAAAAGCAGGAAGAGATGTCAGGGTTAGAACTTAGTACAGAAAACAGATCAAGAGTGTCCAGAAGGTAAAAGGCAGGATGACCAACTATTTAAAAAAAGGAGAGTTGTGGAGCAATTTGTTATCTTCTAAGGTGCTGTTACACATTCTATGTATTTTTCAAACTGTGTAGAACTGTATCTCACAAAGAATGAGAGATATGCAATTTTTTAAAATATCAAACAAGAGGTCAAGAAATCCCAGCAGAATGTAGACCAAGGATTCTAAACATGTATTACAAATGTATGACATAACCTCGGTAGCAGCAAGCTTACTGGCACTCAAATATTGGTTTCTAAATTCTCTAACAAAAGGAAACAGACTTTGGGGACAGAGAAAATACATGATGAGCTTGAAACATCTTGTAGGATCAATAAAACAAGGAAATGTTGGGCCAACCAGATAGCTCAGTGGACTAAAGCGCCTGCTTAGGCAGGTGCAGGGATCAGGGCTTGATCCCCAGCATGCCGTACCATGCCAACCCTGCCCCAGGGGCACACTGAGATGGCAAATAAGACTGGGCATGGAGGCGTGTGCCCAGTCTCCATGAGCTTGGGAAGCTGAAAACAGGAGAATCACTACAAGTCCAATCTGTGTAGTGAGACCCTGTAGACCCTGTACTACATACAGTTTTAAAAAAAAAAAAAAAAACAAAAGCAAGGAAATGCTAGAAAAACAAAGGGGCAGTCACATTCAAAGGACACAGAAGCCGAGATGAAAGAGTGCTCTGTGGCCAAAGATAGACCAATTTAAACAACAATTGAATAAATTAAACAAAACAGCATAATACTGAATTGTGACTTGAAGTATCAAATACTTACATAACATACTGATGCAAATATGATTATATAAATGAATAAATAAATAATGAAAGAAATGATGATGTGGCTACATTCCACCAAAATACAGAGTTTAGTTCCACCTCCCTCTGCTTGAGAGTGGATTGAACTTTGTGATTTGTTTCAAAAGAGGGAGATGTGGAAATAGGGACAGACAACTTTACAGCAGAGACAACTTTCAAATACTACCTGAGTTAAGTGTTAAAGATTGATGTCACCAGTTGAAAGACGTGTTGACAACATGTACCTCCTGATGAGATGAGATTACGAAGAAAATTTATCTTTGTGGTATTTTCTTGTTAAAAATAAAACAATTCAATAATCTCCCATACATCAATATCAAAATCAGTACATAAAGGCAACTCTCTGATCAAGAAAGCCAAGTAAGGTATAACAACTCAATGCAATGTGGGATTCTACTTTAGATACTAAGTCATATAAAGAACATAAGGCAAAACAACCTGCAAACTCCAAATAAAATGTCAACAGTAATATAACAATATTGTTTCTTTATGTTTTTATAAATATACTTTGGTGATATGGTAACATTAGGGGAGGGTAGATGATATGGGGATGGGAACTCACAATGCTGTCTTTACAATTTTTATGTCAATCCAAAGTTTTTCTAAATAGAGTTAATTTAAAAATAAGTGCAGTTTGTCACAGGATCTGCAGCATCAACAGCCAACTTTATCGTAAGTTGTGAGTTTGGGGTAATGATGTGCTAGTGAGGATACACCGTTGTGACAAAGGACCACAGTGGTAGATGTCTGTGCTGGGACGGTTGCACGCGAATGGGGCAGAGACTGTGCTGCAACTCTCTACTTTCTGTTCAATTTTTCCATGAACCTAAGCTTTCTAAAAATTGAATCTATTAAAAATAAATTAAAAACTTTGCAGACGTTTTACTTCCAGCAATGATTGAGTCACTTCTTAGCAAGTCAATGCCCCCATTAAAAAAAAATAAAAGCAAGAAGAAATGAATTAAAAGGAAAGATAACCTCTATTAAGAGATTGAAGAGCCTCGAAGGCTGTCAGGCCTCGAGGCAGCAGATCCCAGAGAGAAGG